ATATAATTTTTTTAATCCAGATATTCATTCAAAATTTTTTATGACATCTATATAATATAACTCAAAATCATAATAAACACTAATATCATGACAATTTTTAACAAGTCTATTAGATAAACTAGAAAAATATCTCGTTATAATTAATATTTTTTTTATGAGTAAAATTTTCAGTTATAAGTTTGACTTTATGTCATTTAATATTTCATTTTGAGTTATGTTTAGTCTTAAAAGCCTAGACTCTTTTTCTAATTATTAAGCAATTTGACGAGTACTTCTAGTCTATTGATTTCATCTTTATTGTATTGTATCATTTTTTGGAATTAACACTTTCCATAACTTATGAAAACAATGAGGGCTCTATTTGATTCATATATTATAATTTATTTCTTGTAGATATACTAATTAATCATCAGAAATAATAAGTTATTTTTTTCTTTTGAGATCTTTTCAAACTATCGGATATGGTTATTTTATAAGATTATTAGTAATGATATCAATATCAATATCATGTGAGAGTTTATCAATATTATTTTATTATTCACTCTCATCAATTTTTTTAATGATTTAAGGAACAATAATATCTCGAATATAAATGATAAATAAGTACTAACTTATATCTACTTAATATCAAGATTAAATTTTAAGATTTTTGCTCCCATTGATTTATTATTTTCTATAAATATTGTCTTCCTAGATTCAACTATCCTCATATTATGATTAAGATATTTAAATTTATACTCTTCTGAGTTTTTCTGGATAAATAATAAAATATTAAAAAATAATCTTTGAATTTAATTTCTTTCCATGTAAATCGAAGGCTTTTAACTCTCTCTAGGACAATCCTAAATATGTAATTATCTTATGTTGGGTTTTTTATGAGTCTATAACTCAAGTTGATAGAATTGATTTCTTGGAAATAATGTTCAAGATATAGAACTGATTTAGGTTGAGTTTCTTACGAGTCTATAACTCAAGTTATAGAACCTCATATTGATTCGAGTATATGAAAAAAATTTATCATACTCCTAATCATATTTCTAAAAGTACGATTTCGTCTTTTAGTAATCTCATTTTGCTATGACACATCTGGTTAAACATACTATATATCATATTTTTCTAGGAATCTTGTAAAAAAATTAGAATTATAATTGAGCTTATCATATTTATCATAAAATTTATCATTTAGATTTGATAATTTTAACCTTTCTATCTAATTATTTCTTGACTTCATTTATATACACTTAAAAGATATCAATAACCTAAGACCTTATATGAATTAGATATATATGCTCACATGTCAATATGTTATCTATAAAGTAATAACATGTCTCTTTTCACCAAAACAAGAAATATGAAGTGACTCACATATATAAATATATATAATATGAAGGAGTCCAGAAATCTGTGTTTCATTATAATATTTGATTATAGGATAGTTGTAAACCCAAGATTCATCGTATACAAGTTCATAACCAATTGAATTACAAATATATTGAATTTAGCATTATCAAAAAAAATAATATTATAATAATTTTAGATAAATTATTTAAATTTATAGAATTGTTAGAATATAACATGCATCCATAATATTTATCATATGAATCGTTTCTAGGTGTAGGCGATAAGTATATACTATTATCATTTTCACTTTAAGATAATTCTCTATAATTATGATCCTTTCATGCCCCTTTAGTTTTTGATTTAAAATAATTTTTTGCATATTATTATTGGTAACATAAGCTAGAGAGTTAGAATTAATTCATCAAGTATTAGAAAGGGACTTCCATAATGATTAATTTAGTTTATACCTTTTCTTTTTGGACCAAATCTTATAGTTCTATTCATATAATATTTTTTACTAAAGAAATAGCATTTTAATGTGAATATTTTTTTATGAGTTTATATAGTATTTATAAACTAAGTTGATTTATTTGATAAATTATGTTTTAACTTTTTATTATTACCCTCTCCTCCTCGAGTGGTACTCAAAATATTAGGAATTTTTTCTATTTTAATCTTAATTATTTTTAAACACATATATTGGTCAATTCATTTAAAGTTTACTTATCTATTTATCTTATAATGAGGCCAAATAAAGAAGGAAGAGAATGAAAAATAAATTATGCTCGAAGAACTCATCTAAATTTATACCCAATATTTTTAAGTTTTATATTTTTGGTAGTCATAACGATAATATATCATAGAATTTCACTAATATTGTAATGTTGAGTTATAGTCAGTTTTTCCATTAAGGTATCAATTATTGATTTACCAATAACTTTAATTCAATTATTTAATTTCTCAATGTATTAATTATATTTTATAATAACATCTAAATATTATTAGTAATTATTAAAATTGAACCTTTTAGACCCTTTTCAAAGTTATTTAATAATTATTAAAGTTTGTGATCCTTTCAACAAATAAATTTAACATCTAACTCTTAATACTCAAGCCATTTATAATAATTTAATCTAAAAACATTAATATTTATAAGAATACAATGAAGTAAGTATCATTATAACAAAATAATATAATATTAATATTTTAAGTTTTTTAGAAAATATTAAACTATTAATATCGTCTCTATTTTACTTTTGGATGAAATATTGATATATCCAATATTCATACAAGATTTGATCATTATAAAGGATTGATATCATTAGTATGGAATAGAATTGCTATCATTATATATACAACCATAAACTAAAAGGATATGTAGTATCATCCTGCATCATCACATATTATTTAAAGTATATTTTTATTTGAGATTATCTAAATCTCTTATTTATGTATATGAATATTATTTTTTAAAATTATTTAAGACTAATTTTTTAATATAATTTTATAAATTTACTAATCCAAGCTACTTTAGGGACTAGAAGATCAAAATAATAATATAAAATATAATTTAAAATATTTTATAAATGATAAAATATTTATCATAATTTACATCCCATAAGCTTATCATCTCATGATGCTTTGGCAACTACTAGACAAATAAACCATAAGAATATAAGTTATAAATAATATTGATCAAAATTTTTAAATCTAGTTTATATAAAAATATTTAATAAAATAATAATAATTATTATGTATTAATCATGATAAAAAAATTTATATGATAACTATAATAATGATAAAACATAATTCATGTAAAAAATAAATATTATTTTATAATTTTAAAATATATACATGTGAATAACTATATAAATATCTAAAAATCATAATTAAAATTTAATTATCATACATAAAATTTTTACCAATATAAGAAAACTATAACATAAAGCGATTATGACAGTGTTAGCAGACAGTCCGGTGGGTAATTCTGGAAGCCAATTGTGAACCAACGGTGGCAGCAGTAGCAGCCACTGGGAAGAAGCATATGATGGTATCAGTAATAGCGTCGGAGTCCAACTAAGGCCATTGCGGAAGAAACTACTACACCTGCTATTGTCGCCGTCGCCGCCTTCAGAATCGCGGAAGAAAGGCACTTGTGACAACTCGAGGCGCACAGGAATCAGAGGTGGCGACGATCTTTTACGTTTCTTTATATATATATATATATATATATATAGGGAGACAGAGAAGAAGAAGAAGAAGAAGAGAAGCATAGGAAGAAAGAAAAGGATTAAAAAAAGAGAGACAAAATGCAACACTATTTGGAACTAAATCTGTCGACTATAATATATGGGGATTGAAGACACAATTCGAAAGCCTAAACAACGTTTGCTTCCAAAAAGATATTAAAAATAAGCGTAATAAAATCTATCCATTAATGAAGGTGGCTTTATGTGCCTCTATATGTTTCTATTCTTATCGTTTTTGCTGATTTTAATCGTAAATCTCCCTTCCAAACAAGCCCCAGCAAATAAATAGCACATGAAAATGACAAGACAAGTAATATAAATTTAGTCCATCAAGTTCACATACATTGCATATTTACATGTGAGGAAACCCAATATAACATACATCAAACACCAATTTCTAGTTCAAAGCAGCACTATTGACATACTTCAGCTACGGTAGATAAAACAGTCCATGTAAACGAAGCATCACATCCTATCAGGTGCAAGCAGTGCAACTATATGCTTCAACTCCTCAACGTAATAGTCATGAAGCGGAGCTCGATGACTCCAACAGTGAGATTTTTTGCCTTTTGTTAGCAAATGTGGCCCTCGGCAGAAAGTCCACTTGTGAATTGATTCTCTCGAGTATGGACTTCAGAGCCTGGTGAACAGAAGCCACAAAATGATGCCTGTCGATGTTTCTGGAGTTTTTTGCAGATCTCATCACAAACACGTTTTTGATTCGACCACCTAAAGTTGAAATCTCGGCTCTAATAGTTTGAAGATGCAAGCTGTGAAGTGTTTGTCTTAGATCTGCAAGGATCCATGGCCGGTCCTCACAACATAGACATGCTTTGACCATAAAACCGCCGGTGCTCATTGCATCTCCTTGAACTTCAACCCTCACCTCATCGGTATCAGATGGAATGGTGTAGCCTTTGCTGATTTCTACAGCATTCCTCTTGAGTTTCTTTACATGACCAATGACTTCGGCCAACAAGGCAGCTTTGTCCAACTGCAAGAAGTAACCACCACCTTTTAATAAACTGTCTTAAAATGTAGCTAATATTACTAACCAATTTATTGATCAATCAAAAAAGCAACAAAAGCAACAATTAATCGATATATTAATAATTCCACTGGTTTCTTCAGTGAAAAGATTTTGCACTCATAGACATGCTTTGTCAAGAGAATAGTTGGTTCTTAAAGTGCAAGATGACATAGAATCTTAAGCTGTTGATGGATTAGGTATCCAATGATAATATTGAAATAGGTCTTCAAAAAATTAGATGTAAAAGCCATAATAGATAGATAAGTATTCTACAAAAAAATATAAAATATTAAGTTCTATAATCCACATCATATATAAAGTAAACATCTTCCATATATCAGATGTTAAAAACTATCTGATTAATCTTGGAAAGGTAGATGACTAAGCAACGCCCTTACCATTTTCTGGATCACAGTCAACAGAGGACTCAATTGAAGAAACAAAAAAGGACATAGAGCATAAGCAAAACCCAGGAAAGCAAAAAAACTACAACTTTAGATAAAGGTAGCTAGGATCATGAACAACAAAATACAAAACCGAACTCCAATTTTAAATTCATGATGGAAATTCAACAAACCATGCAACAAGAAAAGAATATTACAGTTTGAAGAATTAGAACAAAGGGCATGAGTGAAAGCAACAGGGAATAAAGATTGTAGCTCTTGATAAGCGTAGATGCTATCTAGGACCATAAACAAAGGCCAAAATAAAAATACAATAAAGAGAAGTCCCATCCATCAAGAAAATGCATGTCTCACAACAAAAAATCTTTATGATCAATGATCTTGACATCAACTGTCTACATCTTCTACTACTAAATACTAATTCTCAAAACCCACTGGGAGTGTGAATTAATTAAACAGCACATGAACCTCAAGAAATAGTGCAAACTCAAAATAGTGGTTGAATGGAGTAGAGTAAGACTCAAACCTATCAAAAGCCGAAAAAGGTGAACATTAACTCGCTCATCCTAATATTCGAAAACCAAGGATTTACTTGGGGAATGCCTCCTTGTTGATTGGGCCTTGTCGTGCGACACGATAATGTCAACAACAAAGTTTCATGAAAGCAAGGAAAAATTAGAAGAAGAATGAGTGTTAGGCTTGCGTATGTTGGCTAGGTTGATCCTTAGTAAACACTGGTGATTTGAGAAATAACATAAGATCGGCTTTTTTTTCTTCATAGAATCTCAGGATAGGTGCTTTACATACATACTCTTTGAAACTGATAAGTTCAGTGAATAGCTCCAGAGTAGTTTCTCTCTATTTGACTTTCACTTCCTACTGTTCGAATTTTCTCAAACACCCAACCATATCAGACTAAACAAAACCAAGAATCTAACCTATGCCAATGAAGCAAAGAGGCACACCTATAACTACAACACAATTTTTAGAGGCAGAAGAGGTTTATATACAACATAGGCAAATTGAAAGGGACATATAAAAGAAAATTAAAATTTCTCCTCCAAATCATAGAGATGCCAATAACCTCAACCATGTCAAAGACTGGTCAAGTTCACAGGGTTCACATAAACAGAAGAACAAATCAAGGTTTTAAATCAAGTTGTGAAGTGGTGTTGACAGAACCTCCACAGCACAAGGCAAGCAGCCACCGAAGCAAACAAAGAAGAACAAAGAGAAAGCGACCACCAACCTTGTCGGCGCAGGGGACCATGCTCCTCAGCACGGCAAGGTGGCCATTTATCCTCTCCCTCCGCCGCCTCTCGGCCTCGCAGTGGCTCTTCATCGCCATCGCCGTTTTGGCGTCCAGAGCCCCTCCGCCCTCGAGCCTCCATGGCGCCCCCACAAGCTTACTCCTTTCCTGATCCTCCAACACCACCGAGGACGACGACCCATCCGATCCAGAACTGAACCCCAGACCATTAGGAAACCCTCTAAAGAACCCCGGATCCCCATCTGGAAGAGAACCCATAGCTGGAACAACAACAACAGCAACAACGCGGGAAACAAAGACAGATCCAAACGCAAGAACTCGAACAAGAAGAAGAGGAGGAAAGAAGGGAAGGCGACTTAAAAATCCAAGCCTTGTCTGCTGGAACTCAAGAACCGGGAGGGCGGTTCGGCGGGCAGGACCAGAGGGGGAGTCTCAGCCGCCGCAGCTTCCTCACCTCGCCCTCTACCTGCTCGCCAACGACGGATCCAGTAACTCGTCTTCTTATAACCCACTCGATCGCTTCCATCACGAGAGAAAACGGGAGAATTGGAGGCAGAGACTAACAGGCGGCGGGTTTCATCTTCGGACTCCTATCGAAATCGATCATTTCTCCTTCTTTCTCGTCCGATCTCAAGCTGTGTAGCTCGGAATCGTAGGAAGGGCGAGACCTTCTTATCGCCGGCGAGAAGCGGAAACCGCCAGAGGCAAATGAGAGAAAAGCAGTATTTGCTATAGTTTAATGGCACGACGTGATCTTAAGGAGCATGAGAACGCAGCAGTCATGTGCTTTAGTTTAATGTCGGGCTTCTACTAATTGGATCCGCCTTTATATTTCACCATGGAATACTTTCCAATCAAATTCTACTTATAAGAATGTCATGTACTCTATATATCAAATTTTCTCACTCCAATATTATTATTATTATTATTATTATTATTATGGGTTGAACAAGTCAACCGGTTTGGTCAACGATAGCCACCCATCAAGCAACACATTGATTGATCAATTGTTCTTCACTTGAAGTCTGTGTGGGCCACATTAACCATGTTTAGCATCCAAATTGTTGTCGCCGCTCCCTCCAATTTGATAACATAAACTAATGATATGCTCCACTATGATCTCCCCCCTCCTAAAGAACAATGAGCAAAGTGGATGCCTCATCTTTAAGTATAGACTTCATGGTTTGGTGCATCAACTTTTTATATCAATATTTCTTTAATCTGCAACTTCCACCCATCTTTAGGGTTGTAGATAAGGTTTAACACTTGTATTTAATTAAGATATGTGATTAAGGATTGGGTATGTGGCATAGGCATTCATTATATTGTATTGCCCTAGTGAGATGCTGACGTGGAGAAGATGATAATGGACATTTAATAGACGGTGTGTCGCTTCCAGCTTGACACTAAGTTGAATGACCTGTCGTCCTACATGTCATTGGATAGCCACTTGTGATAACATGAAAAAGTGTGGACGTGTTGGACAATCAAAATAACCCTTAATAGACATACATTTAGATAACATGAAACATAATAACAGAGAGCCTTCTTCTCCATGTTTTCTTATTCCCTTTGTGACCCCCCAAACAGAGATCAGAAACTAGTAGTAGTAGCACCCACCCAACCACTCCATGGACGGAAGGGCAAAACACAGCTCCTCCTCCCCTACTGGCCCAAGGCGAAGGCCTCGACAGGGAAGGTCTTGGTGACGCCTGCGAGGCTCTTGAAGTGGATCTTCCCGGTGGCCGGGTCCTCGTTCATGGTGATCTCGTGGACGGGAGGCCACAGCAGCAGCTCCTTCGCCTTCACCCCCTTCAGCTTCCTGATACGGCCCTTCTCCACGTAGCCGTGGATCAGCTTGTCGTAGCTCACGAGCTTGCTCACCATCTTGAAGTTGTGCTCCACCTTGCTCTTCTGCACGATCCACATGTAGCCGGTGGCACTCACGAAGCCCACCTCGACGACGTCGGCCAGCGGGAGGAGGCCCATGGGGAGGCCGAACTCCTCCAGGAGGGACAGCGCCTGCCTCATGCCCTCCTCGTGGCCCTCCTTCACGACGCCGCCTTCCTTCTCGGCCATGGCTTCACGGTGGTCGATGCAGGTTGCTTTGAAGGTGATCCAACCCCCAAGCGTATATAAGGAGGGAGAAGTGAGAGAGAAGACGAACGACAGTGTCATTGGGCTCATCGGCAAGGATTGGAATCCAGCATCGTGGGATCCCCAAACGGCGCATATGAAATGCACAACGCGACATGCAAACGAAGGCCGGCGAATGCGAACTCCACGAGGATATATATACACACACACACACACAAAGTTATAATTTCAATGTGATGTTTGACATTATAATGTAACAAATATACAATCATCTGATAGACTAATAATGATATTATATTTTAAGATAAAAACAACTCCGTATAATAACAAATGGTTTTTTCAACGCTATCAAATTATTGCAAAGATAGTAATAACAAATGAGATCTACAGTTTCTAAGTAGTGTAGCTAAGAAGAAGAAGAAGAAGAAGAAGAAACATATATAAGATAATTTAAACTTTCTAAATTATCTTTCTTTCTCTTTTGATTTGTTTCTATAGTCGCATACATCAACGTTGACTCTGATGTTAGTATCAATTAATTATGTGTCTGCCAAATATATCAAATCACAAAATAGATGATCATACATAATAGTATAGCTTGATTGAGGTATACATATCCATCAAATCTCTCTTACGCTTGTGATTATGTCGAGATAGCTCATGCAAAATCCGATCGGATTCAAAATCTCTGATCTGATGAGACTTCAATTGGAATCTTTGTCCTGATTTAATTGCATCAAATCGGTAATTGCCTGATTAACCTCTATCATACAACAAATCACGGCATTCTACTCCCTCTCTCTTTCCTGCATATATACATTGCCTGCTTGCGTGGTTTGTTGCAGTCGTCGCAGTTTGTCCGTGTGCGAGTGTAGTGCTTCTTCTGTACGCTCATGGCTCGTCTCTTGTTGATCGTAGCGATTCTGGCGGCCGCCATGCTGAGGGCGTCGTCGGACACGCACACGGACTGCGGGATAGCGCAGACGGCGTTCGGTGAATGCGTGCCGTACGTGACCGGGAAAGACCCGTCGCTCTCGGACCAGTGTTGCAGCGGCGTCAAGAGCATCAAGGAGCTGACACCCACGGTGGAGGGCCGCCGGGCGATCTGTGCATGCCTCGTCCAAGAACTCAAAGATGCCGGAGGTTCTGTCGACTCGTCGAAGGCCAGCGGCCTTGCGGGGGCTTGTGGCGTCTCCACTAACGTCATCCCCACCAGCCTCAGCTTTGACTGCTCCAAGTAAGAACCCCGCTTCTCTGTTTCTCTCCGTTGCATGCTCGATTACTGTTATTTCATGCAAGCAAACGATTAAGTAGTTGTTGTAAATTTACATTTAGTTTTGTGTTCGAGAAAGATTAAGCGATTGCATATTTTCTAAAAATCATAAAGTTTCCTTGAGAGAAACATTATGTATAGAGAGGTAAAAGTTTTTTATTGACTTTGAATTGACATATATTATCGTCGTGTGTTTTGCAGGCTTACATGACTTGGGAAATACGTGAAGGAGAATAAGAGATGGAAGAGATATTTATATGCATGTCTCTTTGTGTTGGGAAATAAATCGAATAATAGTGAATGAACTTTTGGCTGGACTTTATTCGATGTTTGTTTTCCATTTTCCACTGGAAAAGATGCACGCAAATACGAGGATATTTAAATATTGATCTAATCTATCTTCCACCAATCCACAATTAAAACAACAATATTTCCGAAAGCAATTATTTGGAAATTTTGGAAGGATCCCACCTCAATTCAGAAGCTTTGTGATAGATGCATACTCTTAATAAACTTGGAAAGAGTAATACTATCAATTTTATTGGTTTTATATAAGCATAGCAATCTTGAAATAGATTTTGCTCAATTGATAATCAATCTTCAAACATTATTAATTTTGTTTGATCCAGGATCATCAATTGAACAGCCCAATCACTGCCAAAAAGACCCATATGCTCTGAACTCTCTACAGATTCAGCATACCAGCTGCCAAAAGAGCTTCTTCTTCTTCTTCTTCTTCTTCTTCTTCTTCTTCTTCTTCAATTGTCATAGTAAACTTCTTGCGACTCCCTAATCAACCTTGCTTGCACATTGCATAGATTGGGACAAAGAGATTCGTAGTTTGCCAAATGTCAGGCTGATTGAGATTAGTATTAGTCTTTGCTTCATCATTTGAACTGGAATAACATATAGTTTTCTTGACAAACAAAAGTTCTCCTATCATTTTGCACCACTTCCTATCCAAGAAACTGAACTCATCAACAAGCATATAAATGAGTTCATCCACATGAAGACATAAAAGTACCTCATGAGCTCTTGCCATATATATAATGTGAGTTCACTCACATTTCTATGTAGCTTGTGTTTGTATAAATGCATGCCTTTTAATCCTTTTGGACAGAGTGGTTCTTAGGTTCGTATAGTTTCTTTCCTTGATCTGCAAGTTCTTGTCCCTGTGGCTGTAGCACAATTACTTTTTCTTCTACAACACCATTTATAGGGAGTTGATTTTACATCGAATCGATAAGCATTTCATTATGTTGAGAAACTAAAGCTAAACATAGCCGAAATATTGTCAAGCTTTGCTACGGAAGCAAATGTTTCTTCCAAATCAACATCATTACATTTCTGAATTGAGCCATCAGACCTCTTGTGGATCCATTTCAGCTCCACAAGTTTTTCTCTCCTCTTCGAAACATCGTGCCACCGCAATCATTTCGTAGCTTCTTCAAAGGACTTTGATGTATCATAGATTCATTTGATGATCTCCATTTTCACGGAGGGGTTTTGGAGGAAGAGGAGCTTGGGAGAGTTGGAACCTGATGAAGCCTAGTGTTGCTCAGTTTTAAATGCGAAAGAGCTGGAATCATTATCGTCTTCATCAACATGTTAAATTAGAGCAATCAATTACTCATCATCTTCTTCGTTAGAACTTGATAGTGCTGCATCACAGCTAATCAGTAACTTCTTAGTGAGACGATCATAAGACATGGAGTCTTTAATTTATGTGTTGCACTCTACTGTCGTTTTGTTATAAGCAACATACCCAAAGACTTCAAAATGAGTTACCTTTGTCTTCCACACATACACTGCTTCAAATGGAGTTTGATGATGCAATGTGGATGTATATGCTCAAGTATGAATTGCTTGAGAACAATTTTAACTATCTTTACCAAGCCAATGCTTTCTCTCAGATTAAAGCATGCTGAAAAGTGCATTTTGGATCCCAATCTTGACAAGAAAATTCTTCTTAGACAAATCACCATGATTTACCTACAACATCTTCATAACAAGTCCTCTTTTCTTCTCATCTGACTTCTCCTCCCATATCATTCTGCCATAGCCATCAATAAAGATAATAAAATAGCTATTGTTATCAATTTATGCACATATTGGCCAAGAAAAACTTGTTATAGCCAAACTCCAAAGAATTTTCTCAAATCATATGTTTGCTATGTTAAATCCTCCCTATATTCTATGATATTTTTTTTCTTTTTTTGCAACTTCCATCAATTTTCAAGAAATAATCTTTCAAGGTATCGCCATCTCCCATGAACGCACCTTCAAACTCGTGAGGATTACATAGAATTATATTTGCTTAATTCTTTTTCAAGACTGAATTAATTGAGATAAGATCTTATTACATAGGAGGACTCTAATACACTTTTTTTCTTGAAAAATAAGATATGGGTTACATGGAATACAAATTTTGTTTTCCTATCCTTGAATGAGCATTAGATCTACTCTTTTGCCTGAGTTTCCAAAATTATATAGAATTTTATTCAGCCATATTTGATGATTCTATAGGATTCTATTTGTTTGTTTGAAGTACATCAATTAAGATAGGGATTTCTTAAGTAAGTTTTCTAAATTAGAATTGTTATAGGAATATTCTTTCTTGCAGAGTAGGATATATACTTCGAAAAATATATCTTATGTAATTGTAAGAAAGAAAGGTCACATTGGACAAATATTTTTGTTTTCCATTCCTTCTGTGAGTGCTAAATCTTTTTAATTTAGAGTTTGGATATTGTTAGATAAGTTTCTTTCTTACAAAACTATATATATGTAATTCTATAATAAGATATTTTTACATAATTAGACTGTCAAACAGGTCATAGTCAACAAATTTTTTGTTTTTGTTTTTCCTTACATGTTAGGATTTCTCATGAGCTGACTTTTATTCATCATTTTCATCCTGAATTTAGCCCCAATAAAGCTAAGTTTGAGATTGATTTCTAACTTTATTTTTGTATCATCAGACAATTGACTGAGTTTGACTTGAGATTACACAAACATAAGCCTAATTCTCAATGAGCTACATATGTGTCATAATTAAATAAATTTATCAAACTAAGACTGCTTGATGGTAAATTAGACCACACCATAAATAAATCTATAGTACTGAAGTTAAGCTTAAATTTTTACATTTAGAAAATTTCTATACTTCATACTTCACATTCAAAATAAATAATAATTATATACATGCTATAATCTAATCAAACTGTATCATCAATTTTGATTTTTTCATGAACTCATACTCATTCATCAATAGCCCTAAAGAGGTACAACATAGATTCAACAATGTGATATGATCTGTTCAATAACATATAATCATTTAATGTAAATTGAATTTGTATGTGTTATAAAATGCCTTGATCAATGTATGGTTTAAATTACAAAATGTAGACCCTAACATATTAATAGTGTTTATTAATAGTGTGGTTCATTTATCAACCATAGTAAACATAGGTTTTCTATGAATCAAAACTACATGAATAATCATTTAAATTGAAAGTCAGATCTACATTTTCTTTCCTAATCTTGATAATTTTTTCACAAGCTTCCATTGTTCTTCAAACTTTTGTGAGAGCATGAAAAATAGAAAAGTAATGTTAATTTGCATGGTTCCTTCATGCTTGTAGCTTAATACCATCTCCTTCGTTAGTGGATCTCCATGAACAAATTACCTTACTTTTAGCCAATAATCATCTCAAGATCAATGATCTATCTAAAATCCGATGAAACATTCTCATTGGTTTTATGCATTAGTTAATTAAGGACAATTTTTTTTTATTGAGATACCTTGCTTGTCAATTACGAAAATATCTCAAATTTAGAACGACTAGCAATGCGATTCTTGCATGCGAAGCAATTGCATATGCATATGTTCTAGATTGATTATTTTTGTATAGCGGCTCGATTGTCAAAAAATTCGGTATCGTAGAATTGTATCGGTCGAAATCGCAATCATGTTAAGCAATGTTTCTAGCATGTGGGAGCTCAAAAACAAATCCAACCTAATTTTAGAATCACAACATGCTACATGCTAGTAGTATCTAGATTTAAATGTTCCTTAAAGTATGTTGCCAAAGTTGTTATCTACAAGTAGCACCAGATGATCCTTCATCAACAAGACATTTTGTACACATTAATGATGCTAATATATGGTGACAACAATGACACAGCTGTTTTGCAAGCTAATTCTAATGAAGACTATATGTATGATGGCAGTCATTTATAAGATTGTCATCGTTACGTAAACTTAGGCTTGTAATTATAAACATAATAAAATTGTTCTACGCAATGCACTTTAAATTCACAATCATACACTTCAATCACTCCAACATCTTCTAGGAAAGGATTCCTAAAGAAAGGAGCACAGACTTCCATGTGATGCCATTAGCAAAGAGAATCAACAGCTAAGGAACATCGCATACTTGATGATCTTAGCTTCATCCTCACACCAAATGATGGATGATCAAGATATGTACATTATCAGCTCTGAACCGTGTACGTTGGCCAAAAGATGCGATAATGATTTGAGTAAAAGCTGTGGTTAGGGCAAGGAATAATGTGGCGATGATGTCGTGCAAGCTGTAAAAGCTTTCGTTCGTTCGTCTCTTCCTTTTAGACTATGCTGTCTACGTATCAAAGTGTTCCACTGAAGGTGAGTCTACATGAGACAAGACACAGTAGGAAATGAAGGGGAAGGGAGAAGGGACAGAGCACAGAAATGTAGGCGAAGAAGAAGGGAAGTCACAGACTAGTAGCTTGTGTAACCTCACCCTTCTCTTATTTCCCCCCCCCCTTTCTGTCTCTCGCTCTCTCTCTCTTCCTTCGAGGCTGAGGAGTTGAAAGCCTCCTCCATTTTACATGCTCCCATGCATGTCTTTGCCACTGGCATGCAGGCCCTCGTAAATGTTGAGCCACTGATAATTTTACTGCTAGAAATGCTGTCACTACCAGCTGATGGCATGGATTCATTCTCTTGAGCAAGAAAGGGACCAGTGATTACACATGGAAGTAGGAGCCACATCAAGTTATCTCATCTCTCTCTCTCTCTCTCTCGACATCACAAGAATTCTTTGAACGCCTCCGTGTTTGACCGGGAGATGGTGAGGGAGAGATAGCGTAAGAATCCCTTCGACGAGACAATGATGTGCTTTGTTTATTACTGCAAATAACGTAAGAGCTTTTTCTTCTTCTTCTTCTCGGGTGTGGTTGGATTTGAGGCGGCCTCGAAGTGAGGGGCGCGGTGGAGTGCTGCTACGGGATCCTTGCACGTGCAAACCCACACAGACTTCGAGGATCAATCCGCCTCTGTTCTGTTGGCCACGCTGCAGCACGTGCCGCCACAATTCTTCTTCTTGACTGTGCTTTAGGGTTTCCGAACGCCCACTCATCGTCTCACCAATAACTCCATAACTTGAGACAGAAAGTAACAGGACAAGTAGGTCCTGGAAATCATGTTACTGTAAAATGTGTATGAGAACTCATAAATCAAGAATTATGAGAATGATATATGTTATTGAATGGTATCTGAGGTCTCCATGAATCCATTTCTTGAGAGGGGAGAACTAAAATAAGGTGGAAATGTCAGATCTGCATGAGGGAAAAGGCTTTGGTGCATAAAATAGGCCTCATATGGGGTGGGGTTGGGGGAACAGAAGGTGAATGAAGAATAGAAGAGGAATATGGAATGAGAGAGAGACCTCATCTCTTTGATATCTATCTCTACTGGTTATTGGCGGTCTGCATGCATGTTTCCTCATTCACTGTGAGACTCTTCCCAAGCAGGTCTCCTCTTCAAAAGACAACTCCCCTTCTTCACGTAGGACTCTCCATATGATCCAAAACCCATGCACTCTCACTGTCACCCTAACCCTAGCTCGACCAGTATATTATTTACCGCAACCTGCATCATATTATATTTGCTATGGTTGCTTGCTGTGAGTGTGTCCTACGCTTACCACCCTCTCCCTTAAAGCCCATCTCCTGGAAGAACAAGTTGCCTCTTGGCTTACCTTACTGTCCCTTGCTGCTGGTGTTCGGAGCAGATCAAGAAGCCCGGTTCTCTCAAGGTTTGTCTCTTTTTCTGTGTTCTTCTGTGTACAGTCCATGCTAAGATATGAACCATGAGAGATGTCTGCTTTGCTTTAGCAAGTATGATGCCGAGCAACGGGCAGCTATCGATCCCTCCGGGCTTCCGGTTTCACCCTACAGATGAGGAGCTGCTGTATTATTACCTGAGGAAGAAGGTGGCATATGAAGCTATTGATCTTGATGTCATAAGAGATGTCGACATCAACAAGCTCGAGCCATGGGACCTCAAAGGTTTAGTCGAATGAGCTTCATCTCCCTTCGCTTCTCTCTGTGATATGATCCATGAGCTTCTTGAAACGGTATTAAAAGAGATGCCTCATCATAGTCTTCATAGATTTCCTTTGATTCATTGCAGAGAAGTGCAGAATTGGGTCGGGGCCTCAAAATGAGTGGTACTTCTTCAGCCACAAAGACAAGAAGTACCCGACCGGGACTCGAACCAACCGAGCAACAACCGCAGGATTCTGGAAGGCCACCGGGAGAGACAAAGCTATCCACCTTAGCAGCTCCAAGAGGATTGGCATGAGGAAAACCCTAGTGTTCTACACCGGGAGAGCTCCCCATGGACAGAAGACCGATTGGATCATGCATGAGTATCGCCTGGAAGACAGAAACCCAGACATCCAGGTACCATGTGACCGATCAAGCCTGACAAGTTCCAATCTCTGAATCTAACCAAGAGAGATGTTTTCTGTCGATGTAGGAAGATGGATGGGTCGTGTGCAGAGTCTTCAAGAAGAAGAACTACCAAAGGGGCATTCCTCCAGAAGCAGTCATGGAAGAAGACCAGTTCAGTCCTTGGAAGGCAAGTGGATCTGTTCCAGCAGATCAGAAGCAAAGCATCCAAACCCCATACGACCTCTCATTCAATGCCTCCATGCATCTCCCTCAGCTTTTGAGCTCCGAGGCCACAATCTCACCCTTTGTGCCACCACTCTCCATCAACTCTCTGGACCTCGAGTGCTCTCAGAACCTCATGAAACTGACAACAGGAGGAGGAGCTCTTCTTCCACAGGATAGGTTTCCTGGGGACTGGTCAATCTTGGACAAGCTTCTGGCTTCTCATCAAGACCTAGACCAGCTGTTTCAGAGCAAGTGCAATCCACCTTCTCAGCTCCTGGACATGGCGACATCGGTCCATAGGAATCCTTTCCAGTATCTTGGCTGTGAGGCTGATCTACTGAAGTTCTCTAACTAAGATTGCGATGGATTTCTGCAAATGTTTGGAGGTTTGTGGTTTCAGATGTATATAGATTTAGCAGTGTTTGGACTTTGGACGATGATAATTTCATGTTTGCCTTTGCCCTAAGTGGTGCAATTGTCTACTTCATGCAGATGCATATCCAGTGTTTGTTCCAGAGAAATGGCAAACCCTAGTTTCTCTTGGAAATGCTTTTGCTCCCTGAGAGCATGCTGAAATCAATTAGATCATTGTGGCTCAAATAGATTGCCGTCCTGCACATGATACCATTTAAAGTGCCGAGTTAGGACTTTCTCTTCTCTTTGTCCATAAGTTGAATGCTTTTATGATGATAATAACAATGCTCTTCGTTTTTAGAGGAAAACGAAGGCCTCGATATATATACATAATAAGACTAAACTTGTTTATGCAAACCATATTAAATGAATCAAGAATTTAGATGTAAAAATAAGATATTTTTGAGATCATGTGGAAGAGGGGTTGAATCAAGCTTTAGTAAGCGAGCTCCCATTACTCACGTAACATTGTTCTTTCTGTCGGGTGGTGGAGATATTATTTTTGTCCTTACAAGTATTGAAAGTATCACATTGATCAATTATTTCAGATGAGAAAATTGATACATTGTTCATCACTCTATGACTGTAACTTATCATAAATGCCATGTTCTAGGGTTGGTTGTATATGAATGCCCATAAGTCCAAATATCTTCTTGTATACTCTTGAAAAAGAATATTTATGAGAGCTTTTCCTAGTTTCAAACATCTATATATGTACTTCATTTTCAAACAGGTAGAAATCTGAAAGAACTCATTCTTCAAGAGAGATATATGAGAAATTTTATCTCACTTCTGTCTTTTATCAACCAAACATTTACTCTTTTTTCTTTTTTATTGAGCATTACTTCCATTATGAATATTGGATTGAGCATTTGGATATGTCTGTCATTTGATCAAGGTTGGTGAAGCATTCCTATCGATGTCCATCATGTCGTGGTATATTAAGCGTTATGTATCGATTCGACAGGAGATCGATATATAGATCATCTTGTATCGATGGTCTATGACATATGACCCGGTATCGTTTGATATGGAATTTGTATTAAGCAGATCTATCGAAATCCGATCGATACCGACCTATAATGATTAGTAACAATTAGTTTTTGACTTATACTAATGGATGAGATTTGTTAAATTCAAATGGTCCATTTGGACACTTAAACCAAATCAAAGGATTTTTAAATCCTTTTTATCCCCTCGTTTATTCTTCTTTCACTCTTGTAAACTCTTCTACTCTTTTAATCTCTTTCTCACTGATATTTTTCTTTTATTCTCATATTTTCACTTATTTAACTCTACAAAGTTATTATTTATGGATTGAATCAAGCTTGAGTGGTTAATTTAAGAGGATTAACACTTAAGTTAGAAATTTTTTTTAAAGCAAATGTATATATTATTTTTTAGATTTTTACTGATTTATGAAATGATTAAGCATATTATATGTTTTCAATGTCTAATATGTTGTTTGAGACCTTTATGATTGTTGTTATAGGGTTAATTAGGATTTAATTAAAGTCTTTAATGTTATGATTAATTTATTTAATATTAATTTAATCATATATATATATATAATGTGAAATATTTATATGTCATGCATATTAGAGTGATTTACACATTTTGATGGTATAATAGATTTAATTATATTTTAATTAAATTTATTAATACTATGATTAGTAATTTTAATGATGAGTTAATCAAAATTTGACTTATATTGAATCAATTCAATATCTTTAATGCCTATTAAGGTATTTGATATGTTTATAGTAGTGAAAGAGGACTAATTAGGTCAATTCAATATCATTAATACTTAAATTATACTAATTTTATAATTATTTTTAACTTGAAAATTTTAATCTAAGTTTTTTTTTTTTTAGATATTTTCGGAGGAATTTTTGATAATTTTTTAGTGTCATCGACATGTCCCGTTATATCGACACTCGACACACGTACCATCTCAACTAAGCTCAATTATAAAACTATCGAATTTTTTTCTTAACTAGAAATTTATAAACAACTCGAGCTTAGCATAAACCCACTTGTGATTTCTTTTATCTTAAATTTTAATTTTTTTAAAATTAAAAACCTACTTTGATTTTTTTTTTTCTCTAAAAGAACTTTAAATTTTATAAACAAGTGGATGAATACGAAGCAAACCGGTCAGCAATAACGTCTAAGAGACTAAACAATAATTCAAGTCAAAAGTTTGAACTTTATAATTTGCATGTCAAACCCAATATATGTCATCGAACCCTTTTAACACTTATAACATTACACTATTTAATCCTTCATCTTCTCTCAAATATAGATATTCACTTACCTCATCTTCCAACATCTTATCACATAATTTGCAGGTTGAAAGAGTATAATAATAATCTTTCAAATTCCATGATGCCTAAATTACATAAGATTTTATATTATTAAATATTCGTAAAATATTTTTCCACAATTAAATCGAGTTTTTCTTAGGTCTTATTCATCTTTCTAGTTAAAATATTAGTTATGAAACATTCTATATTCATATAAAGAAGAAAACATCTTTCCAACTTAACTTTGTATTCTATTCGGACGGTGGTGTTAGATTATATGTTCCTATTTAATTAGATAATATATATTCTAGATATGATTAAATTTTGATTATAATTATTAATTAATAAAAAAATTTAATTATAATATAATTTCTTAGGAGATGACAGTATAAAATATCTTATTTACTTATTCTAGATCATTTTCTCTCGCATATAAATAGATAAAAATTCACAAGAATTAAAAACACAATAGATGGATATGTGACATTATTATGAGATGACATTATTGAAAAATTAAAAATCTTCTATTATCTCTCTTTAAATAGATATTACATATCTTCTTTCATCTCTTTTTTTATCCCTAATCTATATATGCGATGATTGTGAGTGATAGAAAGAGAAAATAATACAAATTTACTATAGCTTTTGGATCATGATATACCTACGGATCAAATAAAAACTTCATGAATAACAATAAAAGATATATATCATAAATTTGATATATTATTAGATTTTGATATTAAAATTTTTTACATAATAATGATGATATTTATATTTACAGAAGAACTACAAAAATTGAGACATCCCAAACTTACAATGTGAAATGGCGGGAATCATAACCAGTTTCTTCTTTCTGACTCATCTTTTACCTCACGACTGGGCGAAAAGGAAGCCATTGTGATAGTAATAGCTCTTCCCCCTCTGCATTCATCAACAGGCTTGTAGAAGAAATAAGACAGCAGGGAAATCAGTAATGCAGCAAGATATAGCAAACTAAAAGTATTAAGAATGAGTACGATAATAGTCCAAAAATGTGGATCAAATAACTTCTTATACAACAATATATCATGATCCAAAAATAAAAAGAGAAGATTTAGATAATTCTTGAACTCGATATTTCTTCTATACAAGAAAACTGTGACTCCATATCCACCAGCAAATGATGATGAAAAAAAGCCAAATCCAATCATGTATCTTCACTAAGAACCTTTTTTTCTTTTTCTTTTGTTATATTAACCAATTGATACCGAGCCAGAAAGTCTGCCCAATGGTTTTGTCGCTTTTCAAGTGTAATACTGATTCACCGTTAACATGTTGAGTTTGCCTCTGTAGCTGTCTGGCTGATGGGCTCAAAGTGCCAATTCCGCTCACTGCCTCTTGCATCATACTTAGATATGTATAAGATGTTTTTATGGTAGTTTCGAAGTGTCATCCGATGTCCAACGCTGATGTATGTTATCCCTGCAGCTTCAATCTGTCTGTACAAATGAGCCTGCACATAAGTTGCAGCTATCTTTAATTAGGCATGAAACTAAAAGAGTTTAAAAAAATCCAGATTCTGCATTTAATGTAGGATGAGACATTAGATAACATGACAATGTTACTAACAGGTTTCTCCAAATCGAGAAAGATAACCAGCATTCAAATGCTTATTAATTAGAACAAAATTCATAAGGAAAGGCTTCTCCACGAATTTTCTTTCAAAAATCATATTTATCCATTCCTCAGAATAAAAAACTGGTTCCCTGGTTATATTTATGCAAAAAGTAACATCTGCATCCAATATTTGAAGAAAAAGAATAAAATGTTCATACCTCATTGGCACCATCTAATGCACTTGTCGACTCATCCAACAAAATCAATTTGGGCTTCGAAAGCAACAGGCGAGCAAATGCAAGGCGCTGTTGTTCACCAAGAGAAAGAACACTAGACCATTCATAGATTGAATCCAAGCCATTGAAACGAGACAAGATATCCCCAAGCCGAACTCTTTCAAGCACCTGAATCATATCATCAATAGTTGGCTTCTCAGGCTTGTCAAATTCATCCGCTAAGCTTGGTGCTTGAGACAAGAAGGGCAGAGAACCTAAAAGCAATTAAGAACAACAATAATTAAAGACCATGTAGATCATCTGAGATTACTTTGACAAATATGATTATAGCAAATTTATAATTACGAATTTTGTTCTCGGAAAAGATATAACCTGCAACACCATGTAAGAGTTATTGTCTTTGACAGTTTCCGAATGTAAATGTCACAAATAAATCACTGAAAGTGTCATTTAATATATTCACAAAATCTAATATCAGAAAGATATCTATCATACTCGTTTCTTATCTCATAGTCAACAGAAATAACACTGAAATTAGCTATTTGTGAAAAAGATTTTTAAAAAAAGAGCTTGAAAATGCTACTTTTAATCATACTCTTTCAAGGTATTCTTTTCTTATGTCAAATAAAGAGACAACATTGGACCAATGATAACAGACACCTAATCTTTCATACAAGGCATGAGTTGTCAGACATTCATGATTTATTTGTACAGAACAATAATGGATGTGAATGGATAATACTCAAGATCACTTTAACGGATGAACTTGGGGATATTTCATGGGGATTTAGAAGAGCAGTGAATGGCCACTAGTTGGAAATAGTTCCAAATAAGGGCCACAGCAATTTTTAGTTACCATGAAACGGGCAAAGTGCCTTACAGATCTTCAGATTTTGGACATTTAGTTTTGGTTCATGACTCTCCTTTTAGTTTGCCCGACTCATCAGACGAACACATACATCATTCTTCAAGTTATCAAAATTCTATTGTTTTCATCATTGCTTCCACAAAATCGTCTGTTGTTGATATGCTAAAATTTCAAATTCTCTCCAATCTTCGAAGTTTTCAAAGATTTCAATTGAAACATCAAAAAAGGCTCTGATTATAATGCAATTTTCGAGATGCAACTGGCTTCCAGAGGTACACATAATTGGGCTCAAATCTAACATTCAGTCTGATCCTTGTCCTAATTGAGACAGGATTCATTAATGAATAAAATAGAAAGTAGCATTTGAGTAGATGTCTTATACAAAACTCTAAGCCAGCCCTCTTTATAATTTTCAGTCATTTTAGACCAGAAATATAGGAGCTACCAAATACTATTCGTGCATTAGTAACTGCCAAAAGTCTGGAAAATGCACACAACAAAAGGTACAATTCTGAAAATGCAATAATGATGACATTAAGAAGGAATAGAAGAAAAAGCTAATCAATAATAACTTGACTTGGAAGTACACCTTGAACGACACATAAATCTGAACCAAGATAACCCTAACTTGAATATAGATACATTCAAGCACATGAAAAACAGAATACTAGACAACTTTTTTCTGAGGCTAACTTAATTAAACAGAAAACTTAATAGGACAAAATTTATACAGAAAGTAGGCTCATGTTCATTATAAAATAATTTTGAAATTAGATTGAATTTTTGAAAATTAACTATGTTTTCTAGAAACTATGGGTCTGTCTAGGAGTTTCATAGCTAAGCTAATGAGTGATATCAATCCATCATATCAGCATATGAAAGGCTAGTAATTCAGGTCTGCATATCAGATACTTCAGAACTAAGCACACAAGATGAATATTGGAGAGTTAAACATGTCAAGCATGGCACACTCAGAAGTTTCTCATTGCAAAATGCTGACAAGCTACCCAATCTGTTAAGTTCAAATCTTGCAACCATGTGACAAGAATCAACCATGAAATTTAAGACATAAGCACAAGGAAGTCTTTCTTCACATAATAATTAATTATGCTAGAAAAGTAGTACCAAGTAGTTCCTTGTGTTGCATTTAACAAGGATGAATTAACCACAACTACCAGTGTTACCTTAACTCTAGAGATACAGATGATTTAAAGCAAACTGTCTAATCTGTAGAGTGTACATAGAGTACTGGATACCTCATTTATGTCACATCTCTTTAATCATTAAAGAAAAAGTTGGATAATTTTAAGATTCTCACATAGTATTTTCTTAGTTACATTTTGTAGAAGTATGGCAAATGCTCATTAATGTGGATAAAATGAATCAATGATCTTAGAACTTGGGATGTCATGTCATTGTATACATTATAGTATTATACTATGCAGAACATATTCGTAATATTATTTCATCATAGTTAAGCTCATCTTATAATTTATATAAGGTTAAGAACATTTTTCTTGTGAAACTAGCTTCTCAATTTCAAAAATACATCATCAAGACCTTTTTGTGACTCTTCTAACGTTCGGAGGATTGCCTACTGTTTAAAAAAATAATTTTTTAATAATAAAATATTAGAACATATGTACAATAGAAATTAATAAGTATACTTCTAGATACTAAAAATAAAGATCGTTATCTTGAATAAATTAGAGAAGGCTGTCCAGTGACTTGCTTCAGATTTGCATTTTACAGAAATAACATAACTAAAATTTCTCGTATCACATATAATAGCATATCTGTACCTAAATACATATTAGCAGATCCCCATGTGCAATCTGTGACCAAATTTCATTTTTCATGCAAGTTATGGATTATGAACAATAAAATTGTATTGTAGACATCTTTCTAGGAAAGAAGCATTGATTGGAGGAAGAAATATCAAGATGTGCACAAAGAGTAAGATGTAAGTAATGCAATGAAGAACGGTTGCAAAGTGGAGCACTTGTTGTGAAAGTATATCTTAGAATGTCACAAAATGGCCTTTAATAGCATAAGATAAGTAGAATGGAATTGCAGTCTAATCCCAGTTTTGACGGAAAAAAGTAATCAACATTTAAAATGGAAATGATAGACACTATCCAAATTCACATACACCAGTTGTCACATACGGTAAGATATTTGAAAACCTACCAGGGGAGTTATTTAAATCAGGGTGTATTTTTTCACTCCAAGTTGGATAAAGCAGCTGCTGGCGAAGTGTTCCCAGAACCATATATGGTTTCTGAGGAAGGAAAAAAACACTGCTTGGTCTCCTGTTTTTGGGCCTCTGCTCTTCCTCCGTCTTTAGCACATCTTCTGACTTTGATGAATCAGTATCTGCTGAAACAGACCGTGCATGTTTGCCAGCATCTTCCACATAGAATATGACATTTCCTTTACCAGTATTCCATAGACCAGCAAGAGCTCGTAAAAATGAGGTCTTACCACTTCCACTAGGTCCCATCACCTATAAATGAAGCAATTGTTTAAGAAGTCTTCAACAGCAAAGAAATGCTGTCATATATAAGGAATTTACTATAAATAAAAAAAGGAAAGGAATGAAAAGAAACAGTTATGGAAACTACTTACAGTTTCAAAAATTAGTTTAATGTGCTGCGATGGTTCAAAAAATCATAACTCTTCAGGATAACCAAAAGGGTGTATTAACATCCTTTCAATGTCTATATAAACTCCTCTATATCGAAGAGTAAAGGATAAGAAAATTTTAGTGCAAACATAGTACTGAATTCTTTCTTTCTCTTTATTTTCCAGTTGAGTTTTGATTCTTCAAGTAATCAAGAAGTGCAGTCTTGATTATTTTGGGTAATAGGCATTGTATCCTGGAGATAGAATTTCCGTGATGTCATCTGCATCTTAGTGGGGAAATTATGTATCCTGGAGATAGAATTTCCTGGAAACGCCTTCCTACTTCTGTTTTATTCAAGTTTTACTCCAATTTGTGTCTTTACTACAACACATGCATACATGTGTGTGTGTGTGTGTGTGTGTGTGTGAGAGAGAGAGAGAGAGAGAGAGAGAGAGAGAGAGAGAGAGTACCAGCAAATGATCCTTTTCATTGATCTCCAGAGACAGGTCAGTTATTAGTATATTTTTTCTTCGAGGTGTTTGTAATGTCAAATTTTGAATCTTTAGTAACTGATGACGCTCAACTTGAGGAACATATCCATTTGACACCAACAAAGATGGATCCTTGTTGTCAATAAACAGAATATTAACCTCATCATTGCTTTCATGTTCAGTGATGTAAGATTCATTGTCATCCAAAATATCATCAAATTCCCCTGTAACGGAGAAAAACAAATTAGAGAATGCGAGACATATGAAACAATGGACTAAGAAAAATTAGAAAAATATTCATTCCATGTCTTTTAGCAAAGCTAGAATTTAAAAACATGTTGATATAATTTTACTAACAAAAATATTTTTCTTAGAAAATTATTCACTATAAATACATGAAATACATGAACGAGACGAGTTATATATAGCATTAATATCAAGACTTAATCACGGAGCCCTCTCAGCAAAAGTTAGTGTTTTGCATTAGAACGTCAACAGTACATAAAAGCTCTTCCAAGCTTTAAGGTGACATGCAAAAATAATGGTAGAACTTCAACATTATGGTCCGAATAAAAATTTTCTGGATTTCCTCCTGGGACAGAGAAACAAGCAGTATGTATGTCCATTGAGATGGAATAAGGCAACGCTAAGTTATCAGAAACAGATTTCCTTCCTACTACATTGGATTAAGTACCCTTAAGTATATTGCTTTCTAGATGCATGTCGACTACAACTCCATATTATAATGTTTGAACCAAGGTATGCAGTTTCGAATAATACCGCCCAATGGATTGAATAAGGCAACACTATGGTATCAGAAACATATTTCCTTCCTACTACATTGGATTAAGTACCCACTTAAGCATATTGCTTTTTAGATGCATGTTGACTACAACTCCAGATTATAATGTTTGAATCAAGGTATGCAGTTTCGAATAATACCACCTGTACCGGTCCATCAACTGATAGGTACATAGACCGCCCGTTACTGGACAGTGTATATATATATATATATATATATATATATATATATATATATATATACAATACTGTACCGTACCGATGTTTCGAGGTTGGCTCGGTACAGTACAGTGCCGTGTACCGCTCGGTACACCAGGGCATATCGAGTGGTACACAAGGGCGTATCGAGCAGTACACCAGGACATACCGAATGGTACATCAGGACGTACCGAGTAGTTTTAAATACTTCTTTCTCTTACTGTAGCACTGTAGCACGTTCCGTCCGGTAGCGGACGGTCCGTGTACCGGTATGCCGTCGGACCGGTACATACTGCCCGTACCGGACGGTACTATTCGAAATTACATATATATATATATATATATATATATATATATATATATACCGAGCGATATACTGAACGGTATACCGCTCGGTATATTGTATCATACCATACTGAGCGAATGTTGAAATGCCGGTATGGTATGATATTTCAAACCTTGGTTTGAATTTCAAAAATTGAACCTTAAAGTATCTTGATAAACTTATTTTCAATAATATATGATTAGTTTGTCAGGTATTATAATAGTTTATAGAATGTACTAACAGTGCTGGCATGGCACGTGTGTGCTCAAGTAACTAACTTATTTATGTTACATTTCAACTGACAACCCTAGGCATGTCAATAATGAGCACAGTATACTGTGGTGCCATGATGTGTCACACTAGAGTGCGAAAAGCACTATATAGTGCAAAAAGCACTATACAGGAAATAATTCCTTGAGAGAAGAAAGTGCAAATGACTTACCCAAACGATCTATGACAGCTGAGAAGGCACTGATTGACTGAAATTGAAACACAATTAGTGAAAAATCACTAAGAATATGGTTGAAAGCAGAAACAGATTGATTGATTACTCCAAACTCGATTTTTCCTGAGAAGTACATAGGAGCAACAACAGCAGCGGGAAGAATTTGAATTAAATAACGGTATCCATTGGTGAAGAACTCTAGATTACGAGATGAAATCAACAGTTCCTGCAACAGAGTAAAAGAAAGAATTTATAAAATCCAGAGAATTATAAATCTTTTCTGTCCTTTTTATTTGTGTTTTCTAAAATGGAGAAGGTATAGCCTGAGATATTTTTCTAGACGTGACAAATGAGTGACTTTTCTAGACATGACATTGAAGTACAGATTCAATTTCATCATTCGCGTGGCACCAATTATGATAAAACCAAAATTCTTTCAAATGTTATGATTCAAGTAATGACTCAAGACCTACAAATTTGAAGCTCAAATTTTGCATTGAAAATTGAAATATCTCACTCTCATGATTCAACAAACAGTTATCTATGGTAGCAGGGAAATGACACGAGGACTAGATTTATTGAAATGTGTGCAACTACCAATTCCAAAATAGAAAAATATGCAGTTCACCATTCTTAATCACTGAAACATCAAATGTCAGATCATGTTGGATTCTCATCAAGCAAATATTGATCAAGAAAAGTATCTGAGTACCAACTGGCAAGATTATGTGTTTTTTATATTGATCCTTGGATGAATGATACCCATTCGATACATAGATCAAGTGAGGAAGAAAACCTTAATTCAGATTTTCATGCCAAAGGTGCAAATGTTCCGTTAGAAATGGGAATCTTACTTCAGTTATGGATGAGAAACAGATCAAGTGTGGAAAGCCTGCAAGTTAAACATAAGATGATATCTTAAGAAAGCCAAATAAACAAAATATATTCAAGAATCTTGGTCTTCTAATAGAGAGAAAGGTAAAGTCAAGTGACATAAAAATTCTGTGCCAAACCCTACGAGGATCAGAGTTTGCTGTTATACTTGCATAGCAATGCATGGCAAAGTTCAACTAGAAACAGGCTTCTGAAAAAAAGACAGTGCATCTTTCTGTGTTTTCTGCAACATGGAACAAATATTCTTCAGCTGCAAAATTGCATTAAGAATCTAAGAGGGCTTATTGTATGGACTAGTATAAATAGGAAAGGAACATCATAATATTTGAGGCAAAATGGTTGCTGGATAAATTGTGAAAGAAAGATGGAACATAGTTCCATAAAATGCTTATTGGCAGCGACCATATACTACATATGACTTGAAAGGAATAGTATAAAACAAAAGCTTGAGCTTTTACTTGGAGAAGAGAGGGGTTTCAAGTTCAAATGTCAAGATTCCAAGTTTTGATTTTAATATAAAACAGAAGGCAAAAAACCTATTGTCGCACAAATTTTATATCATTTTTCAGATAAACAAAAAAGAAAAGGAAAATATTCCATTTGCAGTCTTCAACCTCTGGTTTTCATGGTAAAGACTCATACAACATGGACAATGGCAAATAGGCCCTAACTCAGCATATATAAGCCATTCGTACTTCAAAAATCTACTTATATTTTGTTTGTCTTTCAGTAATCTAAACAACCCAGTAACTGGCAACAAAGCACCTAGTTGTGCATTTTGTTACTATATTTAAGCATTTAATTGTCATACATGTAGCTTATTCACTTGAATGCTCTTGCTAATTTGTACTAGGAAATGTAGAAATAGGAAGCATTTCTGAAAAGCTTGACCAATTTCCGTAGATATAATAAGAAACTATATGTGATACAAGAGGCAGACAGGAACTTACAGTTAAATTTTCAAAAGCTCTTCTAAATCGCTGCAGCAGAAGTTGCATTTCATTCCCCTCACCACCATAGAAGGCAATAGATTCAGCATTTTCCCTAACTCTGACAAGTCCATAACGGAAATCTGCTTCTTTCTTCTCTTGCATGAAATTCAGAGTGACTAAACCCTGAAAATAAAAAGTGGCAAAGATGTTCTGGAATCTCAAAGGAAATGTGCTAAAAAATCAACTTGCAGAAAGAACCATAAGTTAAAAGGAGCAGGCAACCAGAGTTACCTTCCCAAGAAACACGCTTATAGCTGTGCCACCAAGAGAGTAAACAAGAAGTACACCAAATAGTGGTGGATAGATTCCAAAGAGAATGTTACTGAAAGATACCAAGTCAACAGCTGCGTTGAAGAGAATCAAAGAAAATGAAAGTGCTGTTCCAGTAAAAGAACTTAGATCATCTACAATCCGTTGGTCTGGATTGTCAATAATTGATTGAGACTGTATTTTATAGAATGTCTGGTTCTTAAAATAGCGTTTCATGTAGTAGCTCGTCATCCAAGATCTCCATCTCAAGGAAAGAGTTTCTCTTGCATAATCTCTTATAACAAAGAACTGCAATACATAAAAATAAAGTGCATAAAGGACTTATCAGGGAACCAATACAAAGGTCCTCTTAATGAAGCAAATTGGATGCTGATTTTACAATTACTTCTATGAAAAAAAGGATCAAACAAAGAATAAAAGTGAAGTCTGTTTGATGCAATATGTAATGGAACTGTAAGAAACAACAAAAACACTTACTTGAAGAAATATTAACATCCATAGCATAGATTCTCTTACTTAGACAGTAGCATGATAAACTCTTGGATATTTAAAGTCTCATTATGTGAGATTATCCTTCACAATAGAAAATTGCACTGACAGAACCTTTTAGTAACACAGTGAATATAAATCCATCTAAATTCCAATATCATTTCTCTGTTAACTGTTAGAGAACTAACAAATTTGTAATTACTGTTTGTAGACATTTTTTTCTATTATGCATTTATGAGTCATCTTAGACCACCACCGCCTAACCTCTAACAAAAATTTAATTTATTAAAGATGGCATTGTCTCAAGTTACATGTATGGAGATCAGGGAGTTGTCTACTAGCATAGGGCTGGAAATTCTTTATATATCTGCCAACTTCCAGTTGGGTTATCACAATTATCTAATAAATAAACCAACTGACTAACCCAATTTGACAAGATTAATAATCACTTTGAATGTAATGTTTGCAGTTTACTGTTTCAACAATCATGCTGCCACCCACCCACATCACAGGCCTACCCACCCATCACCTGCCGCTATTTGCTGCCATTGTGAGCCAGTATTTCTCCTCCTCATCTCTGCCCCCTCTTCCTCCTCGTTTGCCCACCATCCTCATTATCTTGCTCCCTACCACTTTCCCAAGTAGATGTTTGACCTTAATTTTTTATACTTGTCCAGCCAACCTGTCAACTATCAAGTGTTTCACAATATGTTGGTTTTCATATTAACTCAGAACACCATAACTTTTGAACATCTAGCCTCATTATTCATCAAAGCAATGACTATGTAGCTTAAACTATTCTATAAGTTTGCTTCTGTTAAATATAGTAGCCGTGACTTATAGACTATGTAGTCTAATCATACATCATGGGAAAACTAATTTTGACTCGGTTATATGATCTTATGATCCTATCATCCAAGTTTATGAACCCTCTTACAATTCTAGTTACGAGAGTGAGCTTGACAACATTGATTATTATGCATTATTAGAAGCTCCTTAATTAATTTTGACCAGTACTCTCTGTATATGCATCATTGGCCTTTATGTGTGATTTATTTATATAAAATAGACGTACGAATATGTTTGGTAGGTTTAATTAACATGCAGGTCCAATACTACTCTAGATGAGATGCATAATTCCAATTATAACTGAAGCATGATTACATTTACACCATGTTCTTTATTCCGTATTGGAATCAAGCACTCTATGCTAAAACACCAAATCTTCACTGGATCATATGGACTAAGAAGCAGAGCACATTATATGCTGCTAAATATTTTGTGTCTTGCAGAGGAATACCTAAAATAAAGCCAGCAATATGCTCACCGGAATTCCTCCAGCAAAACCCCCTAAATAGTAGAGAAGTTGCTTGGTGAATTGTTCTTGATCCTTGTCTTGCAAAACACATGACAAGAAACTATAATTAAATTAGAAATGAATTTTATGCTGGCATTTGCTTACGAATGTATGCCATAGTACACTGAGAATTAATATGTAACAGACTGATTACAGAAGAAATTTACTTACTAGCAAGTGCATTATAAAAGTCACGTCCAAGAAAGTTAAATCCAACGCTAATCCCTGTTGTTCCCAAGGTGAGTGCAAATACAGCAGCCAATCTCAGCCTAGCTTGGACTTTGTCCTCAGATGACCAATATGGGGCAGCAACCTTCCAGAATCTCTTCAATAGTGTCTTGAGATCAGAACCTACCCTCTGATCATCCTGAAGAAACATAATCTATATCAACTAACTGGACGATTCTAATAAGCTTATACAAATAAGAATCAGCTTTAGAAGCATGAATGAGCAGTTTCAACTAAAAGCCATGAGAGGCTTCACAAAAGATCAATATTGACTTCAAGTCGAAAGCAACTCTTTGACGATTATGCATGCAAACAAAGGTCCTGACGGTTTCCCATAGCAGATTGAGCAACACCTTGATTAACTGAAAGAGGACAGGCATCATAAAATTACAGCTTTCAAGTTTGAAGTTAAACAATGTACTGTATTTTGACTCACAAATTTTGCCAATAAGAAAAAAAACTTGAAATGTACAAAGAATTTATTAAGTTGATATATATAACAACAAGAAATAGCAAGGTTGGCAATACCGTACCATACCGGTATTTCGACCTGGGCTCGGTACCAGTACGGTACGGTATACCGAGCGGTACACCCAGGTGTGCCGAGTACTGTAGCACTGCTACAGTGCTACAGTGCACTCGGACCAGTAACAGACGGTCCGCGTACCGGCAACCTGTCGGACCGATACATACCACCTGTACCGGACGGTACAGTTCGGTACTGCAGACCCTGAGAAATAGTAACTTGCAATGTTGTTAGTCCATTTTTCAGCCTATATAAGAAGATTGTTCATTAAACATCTGTTTTAGGAATTGAAGAAATTATGACAACTGTGTAGCAGAAAAATCTGGTGATATTTCTTTAATTGTGTGTTCTAAATATGGGAAACACCACCTAATTGGAGCCATTAATCTCTTAAAGCTAGAGGAAACGATACAAAGGATAAAATCATTTAGATAAGCAAGTAATGCTTTAGTAAATTTTCATGAGAAAAATATGCCAGAAGAGCAAGAAAAACAATAACAGCATGCTAAAAATTTCAACTGGCCTGAAATGCAAATTGAGGGAAAAAATCATGGGTTTTAAAAATGGAGATATTATGGTCTGATTTGAAGTTAATTTGATTTGGAGGCTCCAAAGCACTCAGTTGCAACTTGCAATGACGACAGTATATGGTATGTTGATATATGACAAAGATGATGAGATCAAAAGAATTCAGGAAGAGAAGATGAAGATTTTAACTCTCCATAGCACAGGATAGAGCAATGTAGGATGTTTTTACCTCTGTGGGTGAATGAAGAACCAATTTTTGGTATGTACTCATTTCAGTTGCATCTAATGATGGTGAACAATATGAAGGTGTCACCTAAAGATTGAAAAACTGGCCTAAGAAGAATCCCACTTTAGAAAAAAAGATTGAACAAAACTCTTTGCTACAAGGGATAGCAGAAAAACACAAGAATCACTTTGATATAAGGAAAGACAGTAGAAAAGAGGAATTGGAGAAAAAAGAAGATTTAATGGCATCAGTGGTTATCCTAAACTATTCCTGAAATGGCAACTTGGATCCTACCTTTTATTATTGTTCAAGTTAGTTCTTTAATGTTAATGCATTTTCCTCTTATAGGCACAAACAAACATTTTCCTGCTCATTATATTATTACTTATTTTATTTGAACTAAAATGTCTCCTCTAAAGAGGGAAAGATGGACCTTAGAGCATTTCTTCTTGTCTTTCTTTTTCTGTTCCTTGCCCACTCCAAGCCCTAATTTGGTAATGACGACCTACATGGCTTTTTTCTTCCTCCTATTGCTAGTACTCTTCTTCCTCCATATCTTCATTTTCCCCTTCCCCTTCAGTTTCTTCTTCCTCTTCCTCTTGAACTTCCAAGCCCTAACTTCGAGATGACAACTTCCCATGACCACAGCAGCTAGATGTGCATTAAGTCTTAACTAACAACAAACAAAACATAAATTTATGAGGGATAAAATATTATTTATATAATGCCTATAAATGATGCTTTGCAAACTAGGTGTATTTAATGGACTAGAGGATTGGATGTACCACCTTCTATTGAGTGGCGCATTGGCAGCTTAATTCGACAAAAGGTAGTTACCACCAAAACAAAAGAAAGAAAATATAGTTGAGAGAAAAAAGAAAGTGTTTATTAATTTCAACTGTGTGCTTTTAGGATCTGCATGCTCAGATATTTATAAATCTTATGTGGACTATGGAGAAAATCTCATTCCATCATCCCAGAAATTCTCTGTACGTATTTACTCTAGAACTCTTCAAATAAATGTTTAACTAGAAAAATAGTTAGTCTAACATAAACTATGTCCATACTCCATATTACGGTTTTATGAACCAACTTGACTCAGCTAAACTCTAGAAACCCTTTAAAGTTACCACTTAAAACAATAATGACACTTATATCATAATTTCTAATTCAATAGAAATTGAGCTGGCTGATTAGTTAAACCTTGACCATAGAGATTCTAGGTTTGCATCATTTTAAAGAATGAGCCCAACTGCTTTCCCAAGCAATTTTCTATGTGGTGAGTCATTATAGAAGTTCATAATTTAGATATTTTTACAAGGAGATGAAATCCTACCATACCTACTAGGGCAATCGACTGTCCATGTTTTGTCATGATTAAAGGTTTAAGTTGCTGTGTTTAGTGAATCTCTAAAATGTGTAGTTGACACGTATCAAGGCATGAAAATATTAGACGACCAACTCAGGCAAAATTAAAGCCGTAAACAGGGTAAGAGCAATTTTAGTGTGATATTAATTCTACAATATGATTATAGCACACTAAGCAACCCTTTATTTTTTTTTTCCGGGCACTTCCTAAATCAAACAGTAATTTCATTTCATCATCGAGGTTTCACATTTGTTGGATGTTCTAAGATAACTAAGGATTTTCCATTAGATGAAATATCCTTTTTACAATCAGCGCTAATTATTCTCTTTATTCTTATTTCGTATGAAGTGGCAGTTCCTTTTAGGTCCCGATTAACTGAATCTCTGGTTCTTAGCAGTAAAACCCTATCCAGTTTCCTATCTCTAAGTATGTTAACTTTGATTACATCAACAACCTGCATAATAAACATGGCAAAATTTTCATAAACAGCCAGGGAAAAAAAAAAAAGGATTTGAGCTACATCTTCAATAGAACAAGGCAACCACCCCTCTCCTCCTCCTCCACCTTGAATAAAAGAAAAGGTCAAACTTTTCCAGGAGAAAGAAAGCGAATAACGAGTTCAAACAAGCCGACCTTATCTTTGCCTTCATTGGAGGAATCGGAGCTCTCGGCAGCAGCCGACGACCTGACAACCCTCCGACGGCGGAGCGGCATCAGAGGAGGCAGCAACGGCGGCGGCAGGGAGATCTTGGTGCGGTGAAGAAGAGAAGAAGAGGGGCGGGTTGAAGGGCATGTGGCGGAGAGCCGTTGAGGGGGAAGTGGAATCAATAACAGTGGCTGAGCAGCAGAAGCAGGAACTGATACCATAAAGGGAAAAGCCATCCTCGCTCTCTCTCTCTCTCTCTCTCTCTCTCTCTCCTATTCTATATTTCTTAGTGCGTCTGGAACTGGAGCACCGCGAGAGAGAGAGAGGCGGTCGCAGGAACAGCAGTTAGCGGAGCAAACGCCACTCTCTCTGTCTCACTCTATCGCTGGTGGGAGATTCGATCCCTTTCGCTTCTTCCCTCCCTTTCGTCGTCGTCTCGTGGCTTCCGATCACCACGGAAGCGTAATAACTCGTTCTGTTTTGGGAACATTGGCAGCCGCACGCAACCTATCCACACTGTCAACTATTGGTGGGGGCCATTACCTATTGGTGGCCACAAGGGTCCCGAGACCGACCAACCCGCTACCACCACGTGGCTCCTCGTCCAGTCTTGTGGACCACATGATTTTATCAACATCATGCGAATCAGTTTACAAAATACTATAATCAATCAGATATTTTATGTACTCTCGTAATCAAATATTTTACATGTCTTTATTCTCCAATGAATAAGAATATCTATTTAGAAGATCATAAAGAATAATAAATTAGTCTATAAATTATATTTTAGGTTTTTATTCTTCGGTTGTAATATATATGTTTTTAATTGAATTGGTTCAAAATTATTATAAGTGGTTTGATTCACCTTATGACTGAGGTAACACAGATGATCAAATATTATTTATTTTCATCAATCAGATATATATATGTATATATATTAGAAATATCAAAAAAGACATATTTTTATCAAAAATATAATGATGGAAAAGATATTCTATGTGAATCACATGTTGTTGATAAGGAATCATATGAGGATGTGTTTCATTTTCTCTATGCCATATGAATGTCACTTCAATGATATCACAATGGATAGGAACGATTAATCGAATCAATAAAATAAAATTTCAAATCCTCTATCGATCGTTTTAACTATTTTAAAAAAATATATCTATATTTTTTATTTTATTATCAAACATATATTTTATAGTTAATTACAAGACTAAATCAAAGAAAGACATCATAGGTTACAAAAGGAGGTGTAAATGAACTTTGCTCTCTCTCTTACATCAGAATTGAGATCATATAGAGCAACTTCATTGTTGCATATGATCATGGAGAACAATATTGATAATAATTCCTTTATCATGCATTTAAGACCCACATGAAGAAACTTCAGTGTGATTTCCAGATGTAATTAATGATGAGAAAACCATCACTCTCCACATTTGAGAAGCTCAGTTCAGTGACACTCAGATTGCAGGAACAGAAGACAGGATTATTTACAGGCACTCCACAGTAGTTTCATGGAGTCATTGAGGAACTTGTAATGTACTTAGGTCTCTAAATCATATGCATAATTTGGGGGCTAACAGGAGAAATACCATAACATGCACAAACACACACACAAAACATCAGTTGATGACTGAGTGCTTAAGGTGTCTGCACCTCTGAGCTTTCCACTATGCTCTCTAGAGTAGGCTTCCACCCTTTAGCTTTACCTCTCTCTCTCCCCAGCTCTCTGGCCATCTCCTCCAACACATCTTCCAGCCTCTGCTCCCCTTTCTCCTTCAAACGGAGCACCAGCCATTCCAGCTCCTTCTTTGTCAGCAAGATCTTAACCCTGCAGTTGCCTTCCTTCTCAGAAATTCCATCACCATCTTGCTTTCCTGGCTCCATGTCTTCTTCTTCTTCTTCTTCTTCTTCTTGGCTCGGAGCAGATCTCTCCGTGCAGTTGCCCATGACTCTCCGGCACCAAGAGTCACAGCTCCGTAATCTTCTGCCGTGGCTGCTGGAGACCACAAGGGGCAGCTTAAATGTGACAAACTAGGGGGTGCAGGAACTTTATCTCACTGGCAACACCAGGGAGTGATGCCAAGGATTCAACAAGGCATGAGAGGGTGTCAGAGCTGAAGGTTAAGCAGCACATGATGGTGGGTCCTAAAGCCCAACACACAGTAGTCGGAGCAATTTGACTGCACATTCTCAGGGTGAGAGACATGGTCGATCTGTAGATAAGCTGTGAGGGACTTTTGCGTGTTGTGGCAATGTGCTTTGACTGTTGTGATGCAAACTTTGGTGCCTCTTTCCATAACAGTGGTGACCCACTGTTCTCTGTCACCCACTGTTCTTCTCACTTCTTCTTGTGCTCTTCTTCCACTTGGTCTATGTTGCTGCTCAATGATGTATTCACCGCAATCATTTGACACTTTTTCTTTTGCCAGCAAAGGAGACCACACTGACTTGCCTTCACTCCATATAGGTCAAATTATTTTTGTGTCTATCACTGTTTATTTAAATTAAACACATACACATATATATGTGTGTTTATATCAAAAATTAAGAAACTTGCATATATGCTCTTGTAATTGACCTTCAGTAATTAAATATCATTTGACTGTCAAATCAAATATATTTAAAATTTAATTAACATTCACAACCTTTAAAAGAAAATTTCAAGAACCTCCTTTGGTTTATTTATATTTTTAATATATTTTTAAGTTTAAAATAACAATTGTTAGTAGCAAGGAATCTTTTTTTTTTTTTTAGTGGGGACAAGTTTTGCTAATCCCAAAATTTTCATAACCTCTTTTGTTTATTCCACAAGGATTCTATTGATATCAATCTAACAAGTCTGCAAAATACCTTTCTTAATTTATAGATGTATATATTGGGCTATAATAAACAAAAGAACAACCTATTGTGTGCTCTTTCAGTAGTAGTAGTAAGCAACCTTACATCAATGGTACATTTCATCCTCTGTCGAAATTAATCACTACTTGTTTATATTTAATTACAATCATCCAATGAACCGAAAATATATATTTTAGAAAATTATTTACTTAGTGACACCTATCACAATATGGGTGATTAAAGATGAGTGAATGATTATTACTAGGCAATGATTTAGCAAGAAGAAGAGCCAAGGCCGACAAAGCCATGAGAGGAGAAGAAGAATATGTTCCATTATTTGGATTCTAGGGGTAGACTAGTACTGATCAATTGTTTTTATATGACTAATATTCTCTCACTACACCCTAATAAATTCAAAAGTATCCAACCCTGCCATGTACTCATGTCTTTCCCCTTCTCATGCATAATTAAGCATCTACTCCAAGCTATGCACGAGAAAATGTTGGATTAAGCATGATTTATGAATAGATTGTTACTTAATCATGCTCGGGTGTCGAGCTTAGTTTCTTAAGCATTTATTATTATAAGCTAATGATCGGAATTTAACCTCCCAAATGGACCAAATACATGTTTAGTAGTACTAAATGGGAGACATCTAACTATTCCAGCTATCTATTGTGGCCACAAGTCCATGGTCAACCTTTTTCCAAGATTTGTGGTGGCTTGTTAAACCCTAATCCTTTGGTCTCTTAGTGACATGAGCATGATTCAATCATCATGTCTCCAAGTAGAGAAAAAAATATTATGTCTTGTGACATTGTTTATCATAATAATGATGTAGTTGTACCCCAACATAATAAATACAAGCATAATGTGATCCTATTTCTAATTGAATCCATATATTCATGCAACTTATTATATCCTATCTCACATTTGGTCCTGAGTTAAAATATTATTATCTTGGTGTCATTGGCTAAGGAGCAACATAGCTTGGTTCGATCCTCCTAGCGAAAATCTATCTAAGATACTCACTCAGGGGTGAGGGTACGATCCGAACAAAGAGTTGATATGGTAAGTGAACTCCCAATGTGTTGCTGGCTCACGGTGACGGTCCTGTGATCGTCCCAAGATACAGTTTGTTTATCGAAGGAAGCTCGTAGTCATCCCGATGTGCATCTCGACTATACCCGAGAACATTCGGCCTCACTCCGAGGTACTCCTTAAATGCGTTGAGGTCCTGCACAAGCGGGAAGTGGTGCGGGGGGGGGGGGGGAGGGGGGTTTCCCGACTCCTCCGAAGATCAAATTAGTAATCCAAGATCCCAAATATAGGTTAAAATAGTTCAAAATGAGTTTGTTCCCTTCCTTGTTTATACTTTGAATGAAAGGAAGAAAGTTTTGTGATATCCTTCCTTATCATAAAGGAAGAGAAAGGAGTTTAGGATTGCCTTCCTTATCAAAAATGGAGAGAAAGAAGTTAGTGATTTTCTTGCCATAACGAATGAGAAGGAAGCTTGTGTTTTTTTGCTTTGAAACTTTATACACATAGGCAGATGACTTGGATGACATGTGACAACTGTGTGTCAATTGTTAGTAGATTTTTTATCATTTAGCCCCCGAGTAGGCATGCTTTAGGGCTCTGGTAAGGAATTTGAGGCACATCATTTAATCATTTGGCTCCATCGAAGTTGAGTTTCATGATTTTGTTTGCAGCAATTTTTGTTTGTTCATAGCAGGCGTAGGACCCCGGCATGGTGAGTTTTACCTCGACCGTCATTGTGGGAGTAGAAGTCCATCATTGTAGATTTTGCCTCAACCATCATTGCGGGGAGTGGGAGTTTGATGTTGTGGATTTTGCCTCAACCGCCATTTGCAGGAGTAGGAGTCCGTTATTACAGATTTTGCCTCAACTGTCATTGCGAGGAGTGGGAGTTCACCGTTTACGGATTTTGCTTCGATCGTCGTTATGGGAGTGTGGTTCCACCGTAGTGGCTTTGTGCGACCACCTTAGTGGGGTAGGTCATTTTGGGGGACCTCGATTAGTTGCTCTATTTAGGGGGAGGGGCCTTGCCGAGGTTTCTAGGGTTAGTGTGTGAGACCCTGACTTCATCTTCTTTCTTGGCGTACTAAGTCATTTTTGACGTGGCACGCTTTAGTTGGCTTTTGATTGTAGCAGGGCCCACCTAAGGATTTTGATCAGTCTAAGTCATTTTTAGGACTTTGGAGCTTCGATCTACTAAAGTTTTTGGAGCTCGAATCTTGTTGTAGTTGTTTGTGGGAGGCAGCATAGAGATTTTGTGTCATTCTAGGCGAATATGCATAGTCATTGTTTTACAGGAGACGAGGGTCTTATTGTGCCTCAATCGCCATTTGCAGGAGTAGCAGCACAAACCAAAATAAAAGGCACATGAGAGCAATGAGAAGACCATTCCTTCGCCACAAGTGCCCCACCTAGAGATAGGGGGCCATGAGGCTTATTCTCCTCTCGTCAAGGTTTCTCTTGATGGGCCCAAGGCCTTGGCATGGGGTGGGGAACGCACCATTGAGGGGTCATCTTGTGAAGACATGTGTGCTGGCCCATCACGCCAACTGGGGCCTCCTGGGCCTTGGTCTCTTCACAGGCTATGTTCTTGTCATCCATGATCGTGTGGGAGAGTGTGTGAGAGCTCCTCGACTACGGACGAGTACTATCAGGGTTGCTCAGCCATACACTAAGCAAAATGGTGTATTATACTCTAATGGAATCTTTGGTCAATCAACGTCTTCGAAATAAGGTTAGTTCATCCATTTAGGTCCTTTTTCTATATCTCTCCAATACTGACCCATTTGTTTTGAGCAACATCACCATTACGTGACAAGCCTTGTTGACTAGGCCTATGATGTTCGGATATTGGTGGACAAGTTGTCCCGAGCAAACAAAGGTGTTCATGCTAGGATTGCTAAGCTAGAGAAGAGGCCCCCCTTGGCGATTGAGGATGCCCAACTCGCCAAGACAATTGGTCTACTAGGGCAAGCCTGACAGTAGTTGGAAGACGCTGAGTATTGTTTGACAATCCTATAATGAAGGTTAGAGGACGCCCAAGAGAGGGGCTGTTAATACGAATAACAGAAACTCTGTTATAGCCATTTCTGTACATTCAATGTACTCTACGGATAGAGGAATACATAGAGTTGAACATAGTAAAATAAGAAATTGAAAGATTTCGTTGAAATTGTTCGTTTGGAAATTTCCCGAAAAGCTAATTATAGGTTCTTCTCTCCATCGGAACAATAGGGCCGTTATGCTTATTACTAAACTTGTTGAAGAGATGAAATAGAACCAAGGTCTATCCTTTTGATCAGAGGTTGAATCGATCATCAGAAGAAGAATTAGGCCAAAAATTAGGATACATTCTGGGAAAATGAAACTTCCATGGAAGAGAAGCAAATGTGCTTTAACGAGTTAATGGTCACTAAGATGGAGGCCCATGAGACTAAAGAGCTCCTAGAGGAGGAGTGACACCAAGCTCACAATCTAGAGAGGGGGGCGATCACGATGTATTAGGAGTCAGAGGGGTTCTGGCAGGGCTTGTTGAGATCGGGAAGGGCTTTGTATCAATATAAGTACCTCATTATTTTGGGGCGCTTTAAGACTAGGTAATCGGGAATGAGTGTCGAGAAGGATCCCTTCACTTTGTGGCCTGAAGTTCTTAACATCCCTAAAACACATGCCCTTTTTGACGACAGCCTTGATTCATCCTATTCTTCTAAGTGAATGATTCGGTCTTTTTTTTTTATCATTTTTGAAGGGCTCCAATTTAGGTCTTCCAGACATGAGCCCTTAATTGCAAGCGTCACACTAGTGTAAGCTTTCCACTTTTAATAAAAAAAAATTTCTTCATGTGTCATTCTACTGTGAGTTTTTAGTTGAGGTAGTGTTTTAAATATAGAATCATTTTTTATTGGTGTGTTGTGCTCAAGGTATAGGCTCTGCCTTTCATAATCTCGAGGTAATGAGTTTCCTCTTGGGTGTGGCCTTATCGAAGATTTTTTTTTGAGTTGGAAGAGTAGCTCCTCTCAAGGTGTCCTTGTTACCTTCTTATCGAAAATTGGGTGGGGGAAAGGTGTCCTTGTTCGAAGGAGTTAAATGCTGAAGGAGACACCTCCTTATTGGAGTATTTATTAGGAGTCATAGATGAATGTTCTCGTGACATTTGGGCCCTCCTTCTAGCACCAATATGATAAGTTACATTTATCCTGAATTAAAATATTGTTGCCTTGGTGCCATTGACTAGGGAGTTAACATGACTTAGTTCGATTCCAAAGGTGAAGATCCATTTGAGGTGCCCTCTTAGGGGCAAGGGTGTGACCCGAACAAGGAGTTGAGATGGGAGGTGGACTCTAATGTGTTGTTGGCTCACGATGACTATCCTATAATTATCCCGAGATACAATTTGTTTGCTAAAGGGAGCTCAAAATCATCCCAAGGGTTTCTCGCCCCAACCCCTTCGACGATCAAATTAGTAATTCGAAGTCTGAAATATGAGTTCAAATAGTTTAAAAAGAGTCCATCCCCTTTCTTCCCTATTTAGGATGTGTTTTTATATCTCGAAGGAGAAAAAAAAAATTATGATGTCCTTTCTTATCATAAAAAAAAGGAGAGTAAAAATTTGTGATGTCCTTCCTAAAAGAAGAAAAGGGAGTTTAGAATTACCTTTCTTATCATAAAAACATAGAAAAATATTATCTTCCTTTGCTTTGAAATTTATGACTTTAGATGACAAGATAACTCATGCAAAATCCGATCGGATTCAAAGTCTCTGATGACACTTTCGATTGAAATCTTTGTCTTGATTTAATTGCATCAAATCAGTAATTGCCTGATTAACCTCTATCATACAACAATTTAATCACGGCATTCAACTCCGTCTCTCTTTCCTATATATATGCCATTGCCTTCTTCCGTGGTTTGTTGCAGTCGTCGCAGTTCGTCTTTGTGCGAGTGTACTGCTGCTTCTGTACGCGCATGGCTCGACTCTTGTTGCTCGTAGCGATTCTGGCGGCCGCCATGCTGAGGGCGTCGTCGTACACGCACACGGACTGCGGGATAGCGCAGACGGCGTTCGGTGAATGCGTGCCGTACGTGGCCGGGAAAGACCCGTCGCTCTCACACCAGTGTTGCAGCGCCGTCAGGGACATCAAGGAGCTGACACCCACGGCGAGGGACCGCCGGGCGATCTGTGCATGCCTCGTGCAAGAACTCAAAGATGCCGGAGGTTCTGTCGACTCGTCAAAGGCCAAAGGCCTTGCGGGGGGTTGTGGCGTCTCCACCAACGTCATCCCCACCAGCCTCAGCTTTGACTGCTCCAAGTAAGAACCCATTTCTCTGTTTCTCTCCGCTGCATGCTCGATTACTGTTATTTCATGCAAGCAAACGATTAAGTAGTTGTTGTAAATTTACATCTAGTTTTGTGTTCGAGAAAGATTAAGCGATTGCATATTTTCTGAAATCATACATTATTTTTGAGAGAAACATTATGTATATGTATAGAGAGGTAAAACATTTATGTTGACTTTGAATTGATATATTATTGTTGTGTGTTTTTGCAGGATTGCATGAATCGGAAAATACGTGTAGGAGGCTGAGAGATGGAAGAGACATTTATATGCATGTCTCTTTGTGTTGGGAAATAAATCGAATAATAGTGAATGAACTTTTGGCTGGACTTTATTTGATGTTTGTTTTCCATTTTCCACAGGAAAAGATGCACGCAAATACGAGGATATTTAAATATTGATCTAATCTATCTTCCGCCAATCTACAATTAAAACAACATTAATCTCTCTTCAATCCAGAAGCTTTGTGATACATCCCATCAATTTTATTGGTTTTATATAAGCATAGCAATCTCGAACAAGATAGTAAGACCCAGGAATTCAATTGATGAATCAAGAAATTTGATTCATGTTTTATATAAAGCAGCTCAGCACAAAATACAGGGTTTTTTTATAGACACATTGCTTCCTCTGTCGATACATCTAACAGACTAGAAACTGAAGCTTTCATACATTTACCACGTAACATCTATGTTACATTTACCTAAACACTAAGACATGAAACAGTCTTACGGCACTAGAGAGGCTATAAAGAAGGCACATCTTGAAATTTATGAATGCAAATCTGCATTGATGCAGAGGTGACAACCACCATGCCAGCATTAGAGCTTTACCACCACCACACTGATGTTGTCTACGCTGCCCCGAGAAATGGCAAGCCTGACCAACACAGCAGCTGCTTCTTTAGCAGCAGAATTAGCCACTCCACATGGGTAACCATCGGATGCCAAGACCTCGAGGCATTTCCCGATCACCCTGCATGCCATCTCGCTCGATATGACATCCCACAGCCCATCGCTTGCTAGTATCAGGAACTCATCCTTCTCGGTGCGACCGGTCACCGTAAGTTCGGGATCCGAGCTGACGTATGGCTTCAGAAGGTAATCCCCTGTAGTTCGGGATTGAGAAAGCCAGAATTTGATGAGTTGAAATAAACTTACTGTGACTCAAGTGACAGAGAAGCCATCAATTCAGAAATATAGATACGCCAGTCATAGAAGAAATAGTAATGAAGAGAATTGACAACACTGATAACTTAAAGTGCCTTGCAATTTCAAAAGCTAATCATTCAATATTTGGGATGGCATATAATAAAAAAGATGAAGAGCTGTTCTATAATTTGGATTCTGCTAACTGTTGTAAAGCAGTTGATTTGTTGTCATAGTAGTATTTTGATAAGCCTATAAACGAAGACTCCAGAATTCGCGTCTGGTCTCTTTTATAACTGGTTTCATGTTGTAGATTTTCCTCGCTCAATACTCAAAAAGAGAAAGACTTATTCCCTCTATTTTCTAAGGAACGACCATGATCAATGGGAACTCATTTATCCAATTTTGTCATGGCTGAACATTAGCTTTTATATTCTAAACTAAGTAATTGAATGATTGTATTTACCTTTGTCATCGATCAAGTATGAACATGTACATACCAAAGGACCTAGAAGTGGATAGTACTCCTAGGACACGAGGACAGTCCCAACAGAGGATTCTCCCTCCTAGAGCTTCCACTCGCCTGAGCTCATCGGGCCTGTCAGGCTGTGTAGGAACAAGTTCATTCATTAGTATTGACGTAACTGCATACAAATTGCAAACAAATATGAATTATCAAGTTACAGATGAACTAATGAAAAATCGATGCAAGAAAATAAAAGAAAAGGAAAATCATAAAAAAAAATTTTATAGGTGTTAAATACATCAAAGAAGAGATTTAATGGGAAAATTGATATTTCCTATGCCTGGTGATTACCATTTTTGAATAAATCATTGGCATACATTGATTCTTCCATTTGAGATCCTCGTCCACAGACATGGTAGCATACTTCCACCAACATGCACATGGATTTGGGTATTGGCATCAGCCCCAAGCATAAAGTGTGAAAGAATGTATCTTTAGTAATAACTGATTTGAGAAGCAGCATCTTTAGTATATACTGATTTGAGAAGCAAATAATCATAACACCACGTAACTACAGCCCATTTCAGTAAACCTACTAATCCAAGAACTTTTGATATAACCGGCCAAAAATCAAATGACTTGACTGTATAAGGCTAAGTTAGTAACACTATAACCATAGAGCCCGAAACCTCTCACTCATAATACGGGACAATAACAGTCTCACAATCTCACAATCTTTCTCATTCAGATGATAGTCAAGAATCATTCATGTATGCAAAAGGCCCAGGTGATTCCATACTATGATATGCCTCTTATACCATCCACACAACTCTTTTCTACTTGGTCTCACTCACTACACATATATAGTATTAGGTCCACATTGATAGTAACTAAAACCACATAGCTTGATAGGCTAAGCCAATAACTCCGGTTTCAAGTATTTTTCGATACATGATTCTAGGCCAGTTTTACTCAAGTTATGGGCTTGTATCTATAGAAAAATATAGCCATCCTTCAAGCTCAAGTTGCATCATTTGTAGTTCTTGAATCTATTATGAAAACTCACTAATGGCAATTTCAAAAGATACCTTGAAACATTATGCTATGAGTGAGGCAATAAAAACAATCCTTGTAGCATAGCCTCACGTTCCATTAATTTGATGATCAACTACACCTGCATTTGATTGTGCAGCCTATTTTATTAATAATTATAGTTGGTTCCCACATGATGCAGCAGATCCATTAATAATGGAATCGATCAAGGTAAATTACATCATTGAAATACAACAAACACACAGATGTTACATGATTGATCACTAATATGCGTGAAACTGAGAGCACACTTAATGACTTGAACATAGTCTGAAGAAGGGTAACATAATAAATAGCCACAAGATAGAAAAATGATTGTTCAAAATAGTACCAAAGGAATCATCAAAAGTTTCGATTGTGGTTAATCTGAAAATTGGAAAGAAATAAACTCTCTGTAAAATAGAATGGCAGAAATTATCATGACCATGTTGGATATACATGCACATGCAAAAATTATTTCAACATGAAGATTCCCATGCAAATTACTGATTCTTGCTTCAACGGTTAATTAGTTCTTGTTATCTTACCTTCGTTTCGTGCTGGAAGCTCACTAAAGATGATATGCAGGTTTGAGACGGCAAAAAATGAAAGTAATATAATGGAAATATTCTTATAGCTATATAAAACAAATTTATCGAATGCCACATCCACAACAATCTGTTCATAAAAATAAAATGATTAGATTACATGCACTGACTTAAATTGAAATTCTTTGTCATTCTTTCCCTTGTTTATGGGATATATCTGCCTCCATGATTTAAACTTTCATCAATCCTTAAAATTGCAAGAATTATCTGAACAAACTGTCATTTTGTCAATTTCTTCTTTTTTTATAATTTAACTTCTACTTCCACATTTTCAATGTGTAATCCATTATATATTAGGCAAGTAATTTAAACCAATTGCTGTCAAACTTCCTTTCTCTCCTTTCGGGAATCCAATCGTGGATTGCCACATTTTTTTTGTTCACTTTTGATTTGATTGAAAATCAAACACTTCAACTAAACACTCTCTTTCTTGAACTTTGTTTCTTTTCTAGCATTTCAGCTTACAAAATAAAACAAGTTGACATGGAGACTTGCCAAATCTTTTAGCACCATTTTCCACCTTGCGAAATTTTCTTTGTGTCTGTACAAAAGAAGTTAATCACCCATGTAGAGAATCTTGATAAGCTAGATAGAATCCCTAAACCTTGCATGACAACTCGCAGAACATCAACCATATTAAGGATCAGATTTTCCTACAAATTTTCTCTTTTACAATTGTGGACTGAAAAGTCACCTTATTGTTTGATCAATGAACTAATCCCTTTCTTTTCAGAAAGAAAAAGGAAGAAGTCAACATTTCTGCCTCATTTGTGTGAGATCTCTTAAATTCCTACTTGGAGGTTCTCAACCCCATTCTCTATAATCATCTCTTCATGGATTCCATCTCAACAAGCATGCAGTCTGTCACCCTTGACCACTTCCCAAGAGCCACAGTATACCTCCCTATAGGAAAGGGACCACAGAAACAAATACTTTCTGATATCATGTCACACAAGGGCACTTTCAGGAACAACATGAACTTAATCCTAAGGGAAGCGAAAAAAAGATAACCACAATAATTACTTGACAGTACCATGAATATTTAAGAAACTAAAGTATTTGTATGTGCAAAGTGGACCAATCCTAAAATGTCGATCTATATATGAAGAAAATCTAAAATATTGCATGAGAAAAATCTCTAATTTGTACCACCAAAGCTTCAAGTAGAAGACAAGGAACAGAACATACCATAGTAGTTTAATATAGGAAACGAAGGAAGCTATTATTCTTAAATGATGAGAGAATAAAATAGAAGGGAAGACTTCAAAAGTATGGATAAAACCAAGATAGGAATTAGACCTTGTGATCGATTGACAGTGGCACAGCTACCCCGCCGCGGGAGAGCACCGCCCTTGAGTCGCCGCAGTTGGCCACCACGATCCACTTCTCCGCAACCACCGCCACCACCGCCGTTGAGCCCACCATCCCCTTCTTCATCGCCCGGGCGGCCTCCATCACCTCGGCGTCCACCCTCGCGAACCCCGCCTCAAGCGCCCGCCTCCACATCTCGGGTCCCTCGCCCTCGCCCGCGGCACGCCGCCGCCACCGCCACGTGCAGCCTGTCGCGGCACGCCCGCGCGACCATCGCCCCCCCGTGCCCGTCGTACACCGCGAAGTACGCGTACCCGCCCGCCCCCGCCGCCGTCGCGGCGAGACCCGTTACCTCCGTCACCGCGTCCTCCATGTCCCTCCGCCTCCCCAGCACCGACATTGACCCGTGCGCCAGGGATTGCAGGCAACTCGCGCGGCGCAGCGGCGGGGCGTCGGTGGCGTTCTTCTCGTCGATCTTCCCGGAGCCGTCATCCTGGGGGAGCGGGTCCGTGCCGGAGGCGGATCGGGAGCTCTCCCCCTCGGCGCGGCGGATGCGCTTGGCCGGGTCGGGGTTGTGGGGGAGGCAGTGGCGGCGCCGATACCCGCGGCGGATTGAGAGAATAGGGTGGTGGTTGGCGTTGTCATTGTTATCGTCTCGGGGAGGCGCTTCCATGAGGAAACCTTGGCGACGAGGCCCCTCCGGCTCCAACCGCGACGCCTGCAG